GAAAATTTCAATAATGCCGCCTTTCTCGAACCACTCTCTTATCTGTGGTAATTTTAAAGATACTTTACCTCAACGACATCAGAACTCTCGTTATCGACTTCAGCATCTGCTTCTGAATGCTGTGAATTTTGTCCACTGTCCGTTTCAGCTTGTTTCAGCTCCTCTCCCTGAAATTAAGACAAAATGTAATTAGAATCTCAGATTGTAGATGCGCTGCTTACAGCGCTCAAATAAAAAATTCGCACACGAAAGAAAGTTTGGACACGAACTTCTTAACTGCCAAAGTTTGAACCATGGATAAATTGCAGAATCAACAAATTTTCGCCCCGTCTGCAGCGCCCAATTGCTAACTGTCGGCGTATCTTGTTACCCATACTTTTTTCTCAGGGAAGCTGCAAAGGACAAAGGAAAAGCTTATTTTTTTGTAAATTTCTTCATCAAACTTCTGCACCCAACAGAAGTATCTGCGGTCCATTTGTGCTTTTTGGTGCCGAAATTGAATGTCCATGGGTTTCGTTCATCGCTTTTTAATGTTAGTTAATACCTCCATCCTTCCCACTGGGCTACATCTTCCTCAAGAAAATTGCTTGCTTTTTTTTGAGGCGAACAATTTTATAGAGCAATAGTAAGCACAGTCCTGATCTGGCAAAGTCAAACAGTCAAAGACGCAGTATAAAAAATAAATTTTTCATACATCTAAATTTCTGCTCTTCAGCAGCCCTATCTGGAACGCTCTACCGCAATCCACGCCGATCATCAGCTTATGCACCGCCCTGATGAACTGTTCTGATGCGGTTCGCAGTTGTGGTAAAATCTTCAACAACGATGCGCTCCTTGTACACTGTAAAACGTGATGACATTTTCATGCCAAAAACCACGTATTATTGCCAGGTTGTGTGTGGTTTTCGTTCCACACTTTCAGCTCGGCAAACAGTGAATTTGGGAAGCTGTAATTTTACAAGAGTTTTCATTGTGTAACCCACTAAACTTAACTCTAAAAAAACCTTAATTTCACGAGGGTGCTTGCTATTCATGCAAAAGATCATTTCACGCATGCGGCCCCGCACACCCACAAACATGATGTGTGGATCTTGTGGCACACCAAAATTCAGATCTCTAAATTCTCGAAAATCAGACAGGCTGTGAAGCAGAATTTTCAAAAGGCCCCACAGTCCAGCCCATGAGCTCAGCTGATAGTTCACTTCCGCCTCCCAGTCCCTCTTTCTTCCCTAAACGTGGTAGGAAGCGCAACCAGAACATTTCCAACACAATCCACATACCAAATTGAAGCAGCAAATGTTCCTGTTGTTTGTAAGACTTTACTGGTGTATGAAACCAAGCAAAAACGCATGGTTTCGTATGGACAGCTATTTATTACTGGTTAAATTCTCAAAACCAATAAAGTGTTATTTTTCAAAGCGGTGGGCGCATTAACTCTAAAGTATGCCCCCTTGTAAAAACGATAAGTTACACACATCCCGTAGAAATTTTGCCTAAACATTATCAAAAAAAGTCATTATTTCGACTACTACACCGGTAAGTATGGCATTTTTTTCTTTATCTTAACGCAGTTGAGGGTAAAAACCATCACCATCAATGGTATTCCAGCTCTCGCCTCCACTCCTATCTACTGTACAGTATTGTTAGCAATTACAGCACAATCCTCTCGCAAACGGTAACTAAACTGGCTCAGATTACATATCCCACGAAAATCCCAACTTCTTTTACTTCTTCCCTCCTCCTTTTAAATATTTTTTGGAAAAGATAACTGCTTTCATCTACTGCACTAGTGGCTTGGCATTACCAGCCAAAATTGCACGGAAACAAGATCGACGATGAAACGAACTTAAAAAAAAATTATCTGAAAGTTCACAGCATCACCCTTCTCACTGAACTGTGCTGCAAGTTTAAGGTGAACAAAAAAACAAAATAAACCTTCGCATGCGTAGTCATATTTTGCAATGAACGGTTCCCAATTTGCACAGTTTTCAAGACTGCATTTGCACCGGTGCCGTATTTTGCAAATCTACAATAAATTCAACATAGTGGATTGAAACATTTTTCTGCATCCAATTGTTTAATACAGCTTTATATTTTAGAAAAATCATTACTAATATATTTATCACCTATAAAATAAACAAATGAAAATAAAGATAATTGGCTTGCGCACCAACTGCCGGTACGAAGAAGCGTTTTTTGCGTGGTCCCCTGCAGGCTTTTGTCGCTAACGATACTGTCTTTTCGGCAGATGTTTCTAGCTAAAAGAATTGAGACTGGCCACAAGGTCTAATACAAAACATCCCTTTAATATTTCAACTTTCTAGCTTCTCTAGTTCTCGAGTTAGCAGTTCTCCCGCCAAAAATATTCACGAGCCCGTATTTAGGAAACAACTGGGCAATAGCGCCCTTTTGAGGACAGAGGCCCATATGCGCACAGATTAAGCTTTCAGTTTCAGCCCTGTTGCTTTTCTGGGTCTCGAGATGAAAAATCAGTAGAGGCGCATATGTACATATACATGCATGTACACACAGGCAAAACCCCTCGACAATATGCGTTTTTGCATTGTACAGCTGCAAAAAACGCATAAAAAAAACAAATTAACAAATCAATATGCGTTTTTGTGTTAGTATAAATACGCAAAAAAGTTCGGTGTCACCAATGTAGTTCCAGCCATACCAAGGAAAAGCTACCAGAAAACGGTTTCATCCAATGCTAACCCCCGTTTGTACATGTTGTTCATATAATTCGGACCTACGGGATGCCTCTCAGAACGCAAAGATTTATAAACAGAAGTTAAAGGAAAGCAGGACAATCGGTATCTCGCTCGATAAAATTTAACGTCGCGTTCGTCTCCTTCCCCTTCAGATTAACAGAAAACGCATTTTTCCATACAGAAGACAACACGTACAAAGATTCAATGACTGACCTCATCTCGTCTGATAACAGAAAAATAAATGAACTTTTGACGATGAAATTTTGCAAAAATGATCGTCCTTCACGAGCGGCTGTCAATAATACGCTTGCATTTCGCAGTTCCTGATAATTTTTTTAGAATATAGCTTGAATTCAGGGTGTCATATGAAACAAATTAAAATCCGACAAATCGCTCAAAAATCACCTTAAGTAAAAGTAAAAATGCAGAATTTATCGAAAAATATCAATAGAATATCTAAGATTAGGGGAACCGGAAGTTAAAACCTATCAAATAAATTCAGTTTTTCCGATCACATATATCCCATATCAATTCGGCGGTTTTGGTATGTATATCATTCAAAACTTTTTTATTTGTCAGTTTGGTGATGCGTGAAATTAATCAACTTTAACAATGCAACGCTGGGTCAATGAAAACTATTTCCAAAGATTTTTCCCACAGTGACTTTTTGCACAAAATCTAAGATTCGCTCGTGCAAGCAAAGACGGATCCAGGGTGGTT